TCTATCTATCTATCTATATATCTATCTATCTATTTATCTATCTATTTATCTCTCTCTCTCTCTCTCTCTCTCTCTCTCTCTCTCTCTCTCTCTCTCTCTGAGTCTCCGCGACTGAATGATGAACCATGTGTCTCTTGAAGAGTGGCGGCTCAGTGGCCTCCATTTTGTGCAGCAATCGCGGCGCCTGAGCTCGCCGATCAATAGGTGCAGGAATCGTCGTCGACGGTGTGCCCTGCGGCCCCTGCCCATGTGGCCCGAGTCGTGTCCTCCGTCTGACCCGTCGCCCTCCTCCAGCATCTCCGTCCACCGTCCGTATTTTAGGTACGTAATTGGAGTCCCCCGCATCTCCAGGGGCGACATCCGTGTTGTCATCGTGGACAATAAGTACACTGCCGGATCTCCTCTTACCTGGCACTGCATCCCGTACCCCCTCCCTGCCGACGCGGTCCGTCATCGTTGCAGTCCTCCCTCCAGCATCCAATGCGACGCTCTCGGGTGCAATCTCTCCGTCCTCGAGATGCACAGGGCCGGATCGCCTCATATGAGAATGCATATGAGGCGCCGAACGTGACACCTTCCTTGCCGCGACCTTCTTCCTCGCAGATAAAGACTCGCCTTTGCGGCCCTCGTCATAGCGACATCCGATGTTTTCGTCGGCAACGCACTCCCATGTCGGGCCTCGTACTCTATCATGGCGGTGTGTCGAGCACCGCCGACGGTCTCGATGGATCGTGTCCCCATAGACGGTGTTGCTGGCCTGCCAACAATCCCCACTCCTTGCTCGTTCACTGGTATAGCTTTGTCGCGTGGTGTTGTCGCCGATGACCCCACCACAGGTTGTTGTGTCGTGTCTGTGGTGTCCATGGTGGGGACGTCCGCAACTGCGCCGGCGGCCGCGCCGATGGGCTGATGCTCTGAATGTGACGGTGAACGTGGAGCAGAGGTGGGCACCGGATGCCTACAACCGCACCTACCTGCCCAACCCGACCCACAAGGTGATTGGGTTGGGCTTGGGTTTACCTATACCTTTTTGGGTGGGTGACGGGCGAGTGCAGCTATTAGGCATTTCTGGGTCATGGGCGGGTCAACATTTGCTCTGGGTCACCCATCGGATAGGTGACAGTTGGGTGAAGCGTTGGTCTGGGTCACCCAACCCACAGACCCGGGACCACCTGAAAAAATGACCCACCCCTATCCCCCCGCTCGTTCCCCCCTTCCCCACCCCTTCGACACTTTCCACCTTCCCCCCGTAAAAAAAAAAAGAGTCGTTGGGTCCACTTGTATAGTGCACAGGCCCGAGGTTGAGATAAAATAAAAATTGGGCCTGGGTACAACCGCTCAGGCCCTAAAATAAGAACATCGGGGCAAAAAAAAAAAGGGTGCGCTCCAGCAGTTCAGCCCCTCGCCCAGCCACTAGAAGAAGAACAGGGCCAAAAACAAAAGGGGCGCATTTCACCAATCCAGCCCCTCACTCAGTTTATCTTCTTTGAAAAAATGAGGGAGCGGATCAAGCCACACAAGGCGGCTAGATCTATCCACTTTGAACTTTGACACAGTCAGAGAGAGTCCAACCCCTTACTGTTGCACAAATGAGTGGCGTTGGCAGGCCGTGCAAAGTCGAGAGGTGGCGGCATTGGTTGAGTCGTCATGGGCAGGGCTGCATCGACACACACGGAGAGAGAGAGAGAGAGAGAGAGAGAGAGAGAGAGAGAGAGAGAGAGAGAGAGAGAGAGAGAGAAAGAAGGAAGGGTGTAAGGGACTGACACGGGCGGGAGCAAGTGGATGCAGGCGGGTAATGATGTTCTCACGGGTGTGGGTGGGTCTGGGTGAGGATTTTTTTCAAGTGGCGGGCGGGTCGGTTGCAGGGCTGAAATTTCAAAAAATATTCTGGGTGGGTGGGGTCGTCTAGAGGTGGAAATTTTAATTCTTGGGTTGGGTGGGTGGTAAGAAAAACATATGGGGTGGGTTGGGTCACAAGTGAGAAAAAAGGAAAAATGCCCACCTCTGACGTGGAGGTCCTGCTGCTCTTTCAACTGTGTCGTGTGCAGCAAAGCCACCATCGTCCGCGACACTGAATAAATCAGACAAACTGCGCTGTGCAATGCTGCGGTGAGCATCGAGGCAGTGTCTCGTCGTTGTCTCGGCCAAACCAAGCTCGACCTCGTGTGGTCTGCCCACATGAAAAACAGCGGGCGTGGCGGACACCTTTAAAAGGGTTATCGTATCGCCTCCAAACTAGTCAAATGTCTCAGGTCCTCGCTCTATGCCGACAGGTTGATGTTGGCAAGGCGGTGACACGTGGGGTAAACCAGGAGATATCAAAGTAGACAAGTCTGGGGGAGAGACGAATGTCGAGTCCATGGCCAATAACTCGCCAATACTTGGAAGACTGCCGGTGGGGCATGCGAGCCCGATATGCCCCGTGCCGCTCTGCTCAGGTGCGGGAGTGTGTGAGACCTCCCCTTTCGGGTGATCGATGTCTGGACACGCAACAACAGTCTCCTCCATCAATGCAGGCGGTGCAGTGTCATTTGCATCGGCTCCCTGTGTCTCTGATTGCTGCATAGCAACCCCCTCCTTGGTGACGCCAGGTTGAACTCCATGAATGCTGCGAGGTGCGATCATACTACTCTCTTTCTTCGCCGATGCCGGTGGTCATCTCGTGTCTGAAGTCACTGCAGTTGACTCCTGTCCGCCAGCTGAAGTCAGTGGATGCAGTGGCGCAGCACTAACCTCGGCCTGCATTACCGCATCATCAATGTTGTCTCCCTCGGTCTCAAGATGACACATCAATGGTCCGCTGCCCTCTAGGGGACCGTTCCCATCAGCCTGCTCGATCCACTCCTCGCGAGCGTCATCGCTGAAAAAGTCCTCAGAAACTGGAATCTGTGCAGTTGCAGGGACTCGAGGTCGTGGAATGGCAGAAGCCCCACCGCGACGTCTGCGCACACGAGAAGCGATAGTGTCTCGTTCCCTCGGTCCACGTCGCAAGCGCTTCAGGCCACCGCCCTGAAGAAGTCCTAGACCGTCATCGTCCCCTCCATCTCCATCGTCATCCGAGGCTGCGCGGTGGTTGATGTCCACGGCAGTGATCCCTCTGTCGGTGTCTTCACGTGTCGAGCCCGCAGCGCATCTCCCTGCACGGTCGTCACCGTCACCATGACCGTCGCCCCTTGCCCCGATATTGTTGCCCACTCTATCACCATCTTCATATCTCGATCCCCCTGCACCGGTCCCTGCACCAGCGTTACCCTCATCACGATAATCTCTCGCTGCCTCACCAGCCCCTCTGTCACCATCTCCACGTGTCGAGCGGGGCCGTGGCCGATCTCCTCCATCACCACGATCATCGCCTCCTACGCCATCGTCGTCGTCTCCGTCCGGGTAGCGGTCTTCAAGATCGTTGTCGACGTCCGCTGCAGGCGTGCGAGTCCCAAAGAAATCCTCATTGTCACTGGACGAGCTCTCATACAAGAAGTCTCCCTCGTCCCAACGGTGTCGAGGCTTGCATACAAGCCCATCCATCGATAGTCGACGACTCGCGATAGACCTCCTCCCGCCAGCACCTCCACGCCTCCCCGACGACCACCCCCGCGACCGCCGCTACAACGCCTCCTCCTGTCAGACTCCCGCAATTGCCGAATGGCTCCCATGTAGGAAACATCGCACATCCTCTCTCTTGCCTGCATCAACTCCTCCTGCATCACCGTCGCACGGGCACCTCGGCCTGAGACAAACTGTTGGTCGGTGGGCAACTCGTCCTTCACATGCTGTCAGTAGTGCACCCAACTTCCGTACGGATGCGGCCTCTCATTGGGAGCAGCGTTCGACATAGCCTGCCTGTCAAGAAGCCAAAGGTTTCAGTGGCATCGCACAAGCTTCTCAGCCCGTGTTACCTCCAACCTGTTACGGGATTTGGAGTGGATGAAGCTCCAATGGGACCAAGCTCTCTCGCAAGGTGATGCCATTGCCCAGATACGAAGTATCCTGCTGGCGAAGAAGGCTTATGCTGGAACCTCTTTTCCTTTGACTCCTAGAAACTGGCTGAATGGTTATAGCTCCGTGCTGCTCGATCCATGACCACGTCGTCGAATGGCGGCTCCTTGACAAGAAACTTGTCGATGGCAGTGAGGACCTCCTTGTGCTGGTCCGAGCTCTTTGGGTACCTGAACTGAACCAGAGCAGACGTCAAACCCTGCTGCATCTCTGCGTCGTCTACCAGTGTATGATCTCGAAACTCTGGATCCAACATCATGGCAGCCACATGAGCCGGCGACTTGAACATGGTTCGGCGTCTGTCAAACACCTCAAGCACTGCATCCTGCTCCTTGTCAAAAGCAACACATGCAGCTAAACAGGATACGATCATCTCATCGTACCGACGCAAAATCTTGTCAATCTGCCTCGTGTCAATGTCCACCATCTACAACATGTCCATGATGGGATCCAACAACTTGCACACCGGTTTCATATCCTCCGACCACATAGGAGAACCAACACATGTTGTAACCTCCGCATCGTCATCTCGAATCTTCTTCGTCGATCAAACAGTATCCTTTCTTCGTCATCAATGACCACATAAGTTGTGTTTGCAGCCGAAGAAGTCGCCGCATCATAATCACATGCGTGCCAAAGCGAGTCTTTGTGGGAAGCAAGAGTGTCATCGACGTGAACACTTGCAAAACCTCGCGGGCATGACTATGGCGCTTGAAAAACTTTGTGACCACCCGCGCCTGAGCAATGCGAGTCGCCACCCACTCAATACCGTCGATGTCCTCAAGGATGAGATCCATGACGTGCGCCACACAAGGAATCCAAAAGATGTGTTTCACAGTCTCGCCCTTATGGAACAACTCCATCGCGGAAACGTTCGAAGTGGCCGAGTCTGTGACAAAAGTTGTGATGAATGCGAGCTTGATGTCAAGGGACTTCAAACTTTTCCGTCAAGCCTGCGCGAGAGAAGTGGCATCCTTCTTTCCTCGCATAACATCTGTAGCGACATATGTGGCGCCCCGCGTAGTCCCGACGAGGTAGTTGCACAACGTTTGGCCCCGAATGTTGGTCCATCCGTCAGTCATGATCGTGAAACCGAAGTTAGCTGAAGTGGCGAGAACAGGTTTCATACACTTTTGGACTTCGGCATCGCGCTGATCCAAAAGTGTAGTACGGATCATGTGATATGTGGGGGGTTTCGGGGTGGGCGCTTCGGGAACTCCAGATGGGATGGTCACCGTCAACATGCGTTTGAAGCTCTCAAGCTTCACGTAGTTGAATGACATGCCGCTCACAACAATGCATCGTATGATCTGCATGTGGCATGCGTGTTCCAGAGGGTCATTGTCATACGAGGTTATCGCATGTTTCCTGAAACTGCCCCTCTCTCGTGCACCGGCGCCACAACCTAGTGAATCCCACACTCCACCGTCGGTCGCGGACGATGCGGCAGGGCCCGGACTTGGAGCTGCAATATTGCGCAAATTTTGCAAAGGATCCAATGTCCCAAAAACACCGTACTGCGAGGTCGGGGCATTCACGGTTGCAGGCGTGCGTGACGAATCCGAAACCTGAACGGGGCCGTCGGGCGGGACAGTGCCCGCCCCCTCAGGCACCAGTGCAACGGCCTCTCCAACAGGTGCCGAAGGGAAGTCTGGTGTAGGACCTCGTGTTTGCGAAGGAGGGGGTGGTAACCACGGCTAAGCAGCGGATTGATGCCCCATTGCAGTTGGGCGGACCTGCGGCTGCACGTGAAACTTTTGCAACCCTATCCCTGTTCTCAATTAATAACGGGGCGAGGTCGGCTGATGTTCCTGCGTCCTTCCCCCACCCACGACCCTCAACGAAAGCACGAGTCCCTGGCTCGTCGAACTCCATCGGTCCCCCGACACCCGAAACTGGAACGGGGCCCTGCGCAGCAGGCTGCTCTGCTACCGAAGTGTGACACGCGCATCATGTGCACACCCACCAGAAACCGCACCAGCAACGGGTGCAGGAATCGTCAGATGAAGCGGTGCAGGTGAGACTGTCGTCGAACGAGGGGGGAGCGCTGCACATGGAGCACGTGGAGATGGTGCCGCCTGCGAGGGGTTGATGGACGGCAAGGGCGGTGGAACGGCGTCCTCGGGAAAACGAATTGGTGGCCACTGAAAAGAAGGATGACCTAGAGGGAGAGACTGCAAAGCCAGCACGACTGAAGCCAGTTGTGCATGACACTTCGACATATCCTTCAACCAAATTGCGTACCATACCGTCGGAGTCGCCGCAGGGCATCTGTAGCCCTTGCCACAAAAAAATGCTCCTTTGCATCGCGAGCACCCCCACAAATAGAACGACCACATAACCTACACATAGAGCAACGACCGTTCTTTCTCCTGAGTGCAGTGGATCCATCTAAATAACGACCACGAACGACAAAATGCCAAACAGGATCATCCCATTTCGCATATGCCTTCGGATCAACCCTGAACGGGGAGTCAAATGTCTTCGTGTTGTGACCTTTCTTACTACAGTCCGACTTCTTCCCCGTTACCGAGGAGGAGTCCGCGGGCCCCTTCCCAGTGTTGGTGCATGGGTCGGACACGTTGCGCACCCCGAAGAAAATGTAGCTAAGGGTAAATCGAAACGAAGTACGACAACGAACAACTGCATTGAAGAACTGATGAATCATCCTGAAAAAGATGAAGCGTTACCACAAGGTCCACAACAACCACATCGACAAACCAGAGAAGGAAGAAACATAAAGAAAAAAAATAAAATAAAATGACGACAACATATAAATAAATTTTTGGTCTACATTTGCAAACATTGACCCCTTTCCCCTCAAGCCCCCACTGAATTGCCGCTCATGGCAATTCACCCGTCTTACAAAAAAAAAAAAACAGACCCTACAACGGGCTTTCGTTATCGCATTTCACCAACCAACCCCGCCCCCGCCACACGTTGACCCCTTTCCCCCTAACCCCCATTGCATTGCCGCTCATGGCGGTTCACCCGTCTTAAA